GACTGAAGCAGGAGGTAAAAGATATCGCGAGTTTTTAAATACTGTATTTTATTATAAATACTTTATTATGAATATATATTTTATTATAAATATTAAATACTGTACTTTATTATTTACTGTATTTGTGTATGTTTAAAAGGTACAACGTACGATATCTATGTCGTCGGAAAATCACTCGGAAGCATTTTATTCGGCCGATGAAGATATGAGCCACGGATTAAGCGGAAGTCGAACATCCAGCTTACGCCAATCCATCGTCGGTTCTGGTTGTGTCTTAAATCGCAATGACAGTATGAAGAAAAAATTCTCGTCAGACCTGTCTATCGTCGAGAGCTCGACCAATATGAATCACTCAGTGGCAGACAAGGCGCATACGTTGGAGAGAGCAAAAACGCAGATATTAAATACAAAAAGAAGCCCCAGGATTAACAGAAACGCTAGTTTTCAAAATGAAATCGATCAAACTGAAAACGGTCGCGGTATGCAAGATTCTTCAGACAGCCACTCCGTATCATCTACTAGTTTTATCTCTGCTGTATCCTCGCAAGAAGATGTCACGCTTGTAAACTTGCACATGCAAGTGAATAAGCCAATCGTGGACTCGCCGTTATTGATGTCCAGTTACGTCAGCCACTTGACACAGGTACTTTTGTTATTGACGTAAACTTGTTTTATCCTGTTCAATTTATCTGGTTTCTTTTTAATTAATATACTTTTTAATAATTAATATAATAATAATAAATATATGATATATAGGATGTCCTAGACCACCCGTACACCTCTTTTCTTTCAAAAATTAAGCATTTTAGAGAGAAACGTTTTGAACAAAAATTGTATGGTTTTGAGGGGAACATGAGATGGTGTCATTGGTTTGACCTTGGATGGCATCGTTAAGGTCAAGTCAAGGACACCTTTAATTTCTTAAATGGAATGACTTGACCTTAACGATACCATCCAAAGTCAAATCAATGACACCATCTTATGTTCCCCTCAAAACCATACAATTTTTGTTCAAAACGTTTTTCTCTAACATGCTTAGTTTTTAAAAGAAAAGGGGTGTACGGGTGGTCTAGGACACCCTGTATATATAATATAAATATATTCATAGAGCAAAGAGACAAATTATGATGAGAATCCGATACATGGATGAAGAAATTAAGCTGCACATATGTAAAACATATACAGGGTGTCCCAAAGCACCTTTGACAACGATCGTGAGCAGGTAGAGCACAGTAAACTGAACAGAAAAGTCCTGTACTATTTTTTTCTATAACGCTTAATAAAGGAGTTATTATTGAATAACGTCTGGCCAATCAGCGTCGACCTTTAGCCGCGCGCCTCGTAGTGTGCGTGAGCGTTCCGTCGCTACGGCGACGCACACTAACAGACGGGCGGCTCACTGACGTGCGTCCGGCTAAAAGTCGGCGCTGATTGACC